TTTTTTTTTCAAAAATGGGATTTTTTTCGAAAATTGTGCTGATTGTACAGATTTTTTAAAAAAATGTACGGATCTTTAAAAAAATGTACGGATTGGTTTAAAAAAATGTACGGATTGTACGGATTTTTTTTTTAAAAATTGTACGGATTGTACGGATTTTTTTTCGAAAATTGTACGGATTGTACGGATTTCTTCTGAAAATGTACGGATTTTTGTACGAATTTGTTCAAAAAAGTTTTGGCCACCCTGTGTATAACTATCTGGGAAACGCGGAAATTTTCAAGGACGGATCCAAAAGGTTTATATAATATTCTGCACGGAAAATGCAGGGTTTCTTTAAAGGACGTTAAACGTAATTTTAAGTTACCTTGATGTTAAATTTTGGTTTATTTTTGTATTTATGCTTCAGAGATAATGTTTGAAATTATCGAAACAAGTTTGAAATAAGAACTTGCAAAATCTTCAAATATATGATGGGTTGGATTCAGACCTTGCCACTTTTTACAATTACATGGAGGATATTTAGGAAAATATTCCATACGAGACGTTAAAGCTTGTTCAATATGTTAAAGGATTTTCTACATTGCGAAATTTCTTCTTAATACAAAGATGTAATATCTAAATCTTGTATATTTTAAGACCCCTTCTTCCGTCACAGTGTCTCACAGATAGAGAAATTCAACTAACTGATCTTCACGCGGTTTATAAGGTATATTTATTATTTATTATTTAGGCAATAACCTAAATGATATGATCAAGTCTATATGTTGTTAGTACAAAAACTTTCTCAGATTTAGGAATAAAATTTTTTAGTTTTATGCATATTGCATACAGACAGACAGGGGTTTGATTAAAAATGGGTAGAGGCTTAAACAGGGGGAGGGGCTTAGCCTCTCTGACCCCCCCCCCCCCCCCCCCCTCCCAGAACAAATTCCTATTTACATCCCTGATCCTGATTGTATTGGCCTGACTTCATTGATAATAATGAAAATGATAATCTATTCTACTTATGTTTAGACAACAAATGCAGTACATAAAGCTTCCTGTATAGAAGTATACTATCAATGTGGGATGCAGGATACCAGGTATGTACATTTGTGCATTGTGCACTCCCGGGCAGTGCTTAGGATCCGGATCCGTTAGATTCGTAAGATTTTGGCTTCCTGGATCCGGATCCGCAAAAATATGCGGATCCACGGATCCGGATCCAAGGGGTAAAATATCAACCAAAATCTGCAAAATAACCTTTTTTACTTCTAAATCCAAAATATGAACTTTTGAAAAAAGAGAGATTATAAGTTTTAGGATAAAAATATGCAAAAAAAAAATAAAACAAAAAATTTGAAAATTATTTTTTTAAAAGATTCAGTAAATCTTATAGAAATGACCTGGATCCGGATCCGCATCAAAATTAAATGGATCCTAAGCACTGCTCCCAGGGATGATACTTTATTTATCTTACCGGTCTGGGTTGGATACTACTGTGGGGGGGGGTCTGGTTTGCCCAAGATGAGGTCTTCTCATCTTGTATAATCTCGTGTTGACCCAAATCTCGTATAATTATCTGATGTGGGTAAACCTTGTACATAATGAGGGGGATCGTTTCCAGGTCCGTTTCTAAGCATTTCAGGCTTTCAGAGATAATTCACAAGAATCTGAGATGTAAATGTTACCTCAAGATTACATTCTAAACTAGTTTCAGAGGTTTCACAAGAATCTGAGATGTAAATATTACCTCAAGATTACATTCTAAACTAGTTTCAGAGGTTTCACAAGAATCTGAGATGTAAATATTACCTCAAGATTACATGCTAAACTAGTTTCAGAGGTTTCACAAGAATCTGAGATGTAAATATTACTTCAAGATTACATGCTAAACTAGTTTGCTTTTTTATGCAAAATATTTCCTATTTACTCTTGACTAAAGATAAAACCAAAACCAAATTATTAAAATCGTTTTTCGTTTTGAAAAATCTTTTTGGTTAATATCTTTGATCAGAGAACAAGTTGAACATAATGTAATAAAAGTAAACTCATCAAAAATACAATTTTGTATTGTGAGTAATAACTCGGATTTTTGTGAAGCACTTTAAAACGTCCAAAATTCTGTAAATGTCTTTTAACTGACATCAAAACTATCCTTATTACTACCTGTTTAAACCTTTTTCTACTACATAGTGATATGTTAGTCACTGATACTAAGTTCTCTACAATTTCAATACTTCATCATTAAGGATTGTTTGTAGAAACCTTTTAGTTAAACACATCAATGTTAGCGTATTTCAACTTTATTCAACTCTTCTAGATTTACTGAATTTTAAACAAAAAAATCTATTTTTTTCTTTTTTCGCCTTTTTTATAAATCTTGATCATTCAGAGATTAGGAAGTTTTTAATGATCCCTTATTTGAAAGTAATAAAGTGATGGTTCAGGATTCAAGAATTCACAAAGAAAATATCTTATAAGAAAAAATTTAATTATAAAAATAGAATAGAATAAAAAATTAAGTACGTTCGGATTTTTAAAATTAACACGTAAATTCAACAATTATTAAATTATTTGAATCTAAAATTTAGATTACTTGATTAAAAAGAGTGGAATTTACGATTTACAATGCACCCTTAAACCCTGTGTCTGATAATGGATGAGGGAAAAATCTATTTATTTAGAGCGAATATGCAGTTGGAGTTGTTGGCCCAGATCATCAGAGAATCATGCTTTGATCAGCTAAGAACCAAGGTAATACACGGGCAGCCGTATTACATTTGAATTTCCGAGCCAGGTCAACCTTTCCGATTCCAGTTTGTACTGTATCGCCCGGACATTGGGTAAATTAAGCAGACACTCTATAGAACTAGCCGGTGCAACAAGGTTGACGCGGTCAGACTTTAGGTTGAGTTTACTTTTACAAAAGGGTCAGAGGTGCGTGAATATTGTGGAGCAGGAAACCTAGAGTAATTACATAGATATAGGTTGAAATGACAGGTCTTCTTTGAGTGGTTTTATATGAATTTGGGTATTAAATTAATTTTGATATGAAAATTTAAAAGCAGATTCGAAGTGCAGACTGCTAAGTGATGATGAACAGGGGAAATTATCTTAAGATTTTAAACCCGTTTTTTTTGGGGGGGGGGCGCAAATAATTGTTTACAACAACCAAAGAGGGAAGTTAGACAAAATTGGTCGAGGGAACCCGTGGTTAAGTAAAATTTTTCATTTCCCGAAAAAGTAGTTGTACACAATTTTATCGTCTTTTAAGATGAAAATGCGCGAATTTCCCCCCGAAAACTTTGCAGAGCGGGTGATTATTTTACATGACTGTCCCAGGGAACTTTATATCTATTTATGCAACTTTCTTGTGTTATCATGCAGGACAGTATGTTTTTTGAGCGGGAAAAAATAAAAATCACATCAAAAATCATTATTTTCCAAATGTTAACACAAGAAAGTTGGATATATAAATTTATTTAATATATTTATAGAAATAATCGATTTTTTACTGAAATCCGCGAAATATAAAATGAAACCTATAGAATGTTACTTATTGGACTCGGAGCAAATAAAAAAATTTGAATACCCAAGATTATGAAGTTGTGAGTAAAATACTGGATAAAAATTCTCTCAAAATTGAATAAAGTAACTTAAAACTTCCCTTTGTTTGGGGAATCGGTAATGTTGGTCTAAAGGCGGTAAAAATAATAATTAAACATTATCTTGCATATTTTCTTTTATTATCTGATTAATATTTATTAATATTTTTTTCATTTACTAAATTGGAAGTTGGGAGTTTATCTAAGGCTAAATCTTAGTAAATTTTAATCTTTCTTCTGCTGCATTGTTATAATTTTATCAAAAGTAATTCCAGAATTTCTGTTTATTTTGAATTTTTAGGCTTGTTTTTCCTTTTTTTTCAACTAATGAATTTTACCTTTTGCTGCATCATTTTAATTTATATTGAATATAATTCGACAATTTATGTTTACTGTACATTTTTCAGACTTTTTAAACCGTTTTTTTCGAATCCTGAATGGTACCCAAGGTTTGTGATTCACAATTCAGATAGATAAAAAATGATTGTTTAACCCTGATATTATTAGGAGCAGCTTGGATACATTGTGTTCAGTGGAATCCGAAGATCTAGCGGAGCCCAGGGACTCAGGGTTATCGTTCAGTCGGAGAAGGTTCCAGAGTATGTTGATACAAGGATAGAGGAGTACATTGCAGGACTAAACCAAACTTTACAGGTTAGCAACCTTATCCAATATTGAATACTAGGCTTTCATCTTTCAAAATCTTCTAATTCAACTTTCAATTCAACTTTATATGAGCATTTTTGCTTCGTGCAATTTAAAACACTAGAAATTCAAGGCGCTTCGCGCCCTTCTTTCTAGGCTTTTAGGGCGCTTCGCGCCCATCTTCTATTTTAATTGTGAACATGTTCTTTTTGTTTACATTTCAAAACAAAAATTAAAAAAATTTTGCGGATTTAAAAAAAAAAATTCGCGGATTTTCAAATATTTAATTTTTTTTTACAAAATTAAAAACCTTTAAAACACAAATTTTTAAAATTTCAATCATTCATAAACCTTCCCTGGTGTCCCTAGATGTCCCACAAAAAATTTGGGCCCGATCGGTTCAGCCGTTTTGACGTTTATTGGATACAAACAGACAAACAAACAAACAGACAAACAGACAAGCCAAATTTATATATAGATTAACAAAAAACTTTCGCGGATTTTTTAATTTTTTTTCGCGAATTTTGAAAATTTTAAGAATATTAAGAAAATTTTGAGACAAATTTCTCTATTTTTGAGCATTCATAAACCTTCTCTGTGGTCATGTGAGTTGCCAATGCCAAATAAAATTTGAAATCTATCGGTTTTGCCGTTTTGACGTTTATTGGATACAAACAGACAAACATACAGACAAGAACAGTTTGTAGATAGAATATGAAGTCATATTTAAATATGAATTCAAGGTTGAATATTATTTTTCTATTTATATCGAATATTATCTGTTTATTCATCATTTTAGTTTTATGCCAGATTTGGAGCCTTATGTCTATCAAAATTAAAATTAGTATAAAATCTATTCTTGAAATATTATGCCGTCATTCTACATCCAATAATTCAATGAAATCCTGTCTCAGCTGATACAAAGTTTTTATTTCCAGGATTTTTAGAATTTTCAGCTAAATCTGTCTTATCCATTTACTCCAAATTTTTCGCAGATCTGGTTCTTAACTCGATTTTGTTTCCTTGAGAAGAGATAAAAATATTACAGAGTAAACTGAATTTCCTCTTTATTCTTGAGGAGAATCAATTTTGCTGGAAGGGAAAGTATATTATCTCATCCAGTAAAGGATGGCCGGACTCTTTACGTACTTTCAGCCATTTATTAGCTAAATTCGTTTTAATTATTATTAATCTTCCCCAGAGACCCATATGAGCAATGAAAGGTCAGAAAATATAATTTAAAGAGACTGTTAGCGTAATTTCAAGTTACCTTCTATTTAAACCCTTTAAACCTGGCCTTGGACTCATCATCAAGGGCAGAGATCTCAATGTATATATCTCTTAAAGACTGTGTAAATTTCTCTTTTTAATTGGAAGATCAATGGCGTAATCAGAGGTGGCAAGTGGGTAGTGCCCCTACCTAGATCTGTATAGAGGGGGCGTAGCCCCCTATCCCTAGAACTCAGAGCTATCAAACTTTTCAAATCTGAAACTGAAGAGTAAATAGTATTAAAAGCAATGGTTTTTTTTCTGCCAGTTTTGTTTGATGGAGGGATAAAGTAGTCCTTGTATGGTAATTGGACTGTATAGTGTATGTGTACCTTTAAAGTATCCAAGAAGCCAAATGTTTTGAATTTACGGTTTTAGAAGCTCTTGGAGGGGGGGGGGNAGAGGTAATAGTAGGCAATATTAGACTCAGAGATACTTTCTAAACATTTAACTTTAACAGAGATATTGTAGAGGTAATAGTAGGCAATATTAGACTCAGAGATACTTTCTAAACATTTAACTTTAACAGAGATATTGTAGAGGTAATAGTAGGCAATATTAGACTCAGAGATACTTTCTAAACATTTAACTTTAACAGAGATATTGTAGAGGTAATAGTAGGCAATATTAGACTCAGAGATACTTTCTAAACATTTAACTTTAACAGAGATATTGTAGAGGTAATAATAGGCAATATTAGACTCAGAGATACTTTCTAAACGTTTAACTTTAACAGAGGTATTGTAGACTTAGAGGTAATAAAAGGCAATATTTGACTCAGAGATACTTTCTAAACATTCTGTAATTGACGTTTTTTTAAGATTTTAGTATAGCATGGTTTCTGTTTGTAATCACTCTTCATCAAACCTCTATAATGTTGCATTTGTTCAATGAATTGACGTTTCACATTTTAAACAGTTTGCTAAATTCTTTTGGTCCTGTCAATGCCATCTGATTCACTTAAACTATTTCTATTAAAAGCATAAATTGTTTTATTTCTTTCCTGTCAGTCCAGAATTTTCTTTCATTTTAACAATAGTTTCAACCCATTTTATCTTCATCAATTAATTTCGATACACACTTTGGTATATTTTAAACTTGAGGATCAACACTTTATCCCTCTATTCAAGTTATCCCTGCAAGGTATGACTATCACGGGATATAAAAGATGAATTAAATCAAGCTGCAGATCTGCATAAGATGGAGATCAATGCTTGATTTAAATAAAAAAGTTCTGACTACCTAAAAAAAAAGCATGATATTAGTGTCGAGTGCACCACAAGTTCTATCAAAAATCAAGATTTGTTTTCTGTTTTTTGTTATCCAGTCACTGTCCACACACCTTAACCTACATTCATAGAGTGGAATGTTCTGTTCATAGTGGCATCCTTTAAACCACTTCTATTCGAAAAACAAAGAAAAATATATCGTCGTTTTTCTAACTAAAAATGTTCAGTTCTGTTAGTTTCTCGTTGTGTATGCAATATTGAAGATAATTTTCGAGAACCCAATATTAAAGATAATTTATTTTGAGCTAGGAAGACTTTAAAATAGTATTTATCCTAAGAACAAAGTTTTAACGAGTAGCTTTGTTAACCGGACATGCTACTCTATAAATGGATGCCAAAGTATGCCAAAACTCTATTTTATTATTTCGAAATCAAACCAGATAATAAATCAAATCTCAACACAAAAAAAAACTTTTAAATATATGAATTGTATCAAGGTTGTTTAGTAGGATTGCTTACTCTCGATGCGTTCCAATGTTCGGGAAATGTAGTCTCCAAACCAATAGACAGTTAAAATCCGTAAATAACATCACTGCTTAGGGAGACAGTTTTTAAGTTGCTCGGACTGGATTCATTTGCACACTGACCCATAAATTGTGACGTTATTTAAGGATTTTATATTTATTACTTTTGAGACGGCATTTCCCGTACATTGGAGAGCATTTAGAGTAAGACCATGACTAACTAATGAAACGGTTAAGAAACGGTTTGTAAAAATGTCAAATAAAAAGTCTGTTAAATTTATCAACATGTTCTCGTCTACTATTTTCCTAATTAAACCAATACTGTTGCAGGTTGAGATGCTACGTAGCCTGACTAAAGACGACATTCTACAGTTTTACAATCAATATGTGTCGCACCTTAGTGAACACAGGCGTAAACTCTCCTGTCACGTTGTCAGCACAATACCTAGTATCCAGGACACAGCTGCTGACACAACGGTGTCTGTGACAGCTATGGACGTACCTGAGAGTGATGGCTCTGTCGGAGAACCTGCTGGCGCTAGATTAGTTGTTGATATTACAGAGTTTAAAATGTCTCAACCTTTGTTCCCACTGCCCAGACCCTTTACTCCAGTTCATTCGTTCAAATCAACTAAACACAATTCAAAATAATAATAATTTAGAGAATAAATGTCAATTATGACAAATTTGTGTATACAATAATACCATGTTTTAGCATATAGTTGATATTAAACTTTACATGATAGGATAAATCTTTTTGTATTTGATTATTATTTAATTTCTGTAATAAATGATAAAAAATGTGGACTTAAAAATTTGTATAAATGTCTATATTTCTAAAGCTTTTATCTTTAGAATTATTGTAAAAATGAAGGATAGAAGAACTGGGCGCAGAGGTTTATCTGAAAATTGAATCTTGCACGTTTCTACTATTTTTTATTAAAACTTTGGAAATTATTTTTTGCCTTTATTAATCATTAAAAGTCATGCTAATAAAGCAGATTTCAGTTAAAAGGGATTCAGGAAAATACGTTTTTATTAAATATCCCACCCTCAAGGTAAGGTTGTGGTGTCAAGAAACTCAGTCAATTTCACAATACAAATATAGTAGATCACATTTCGGAATTCCCAGGACTTACTAGTTTTAATTATAAACCGTTTTATCTAGAAAACTACCCGACTAGACCAGATAGCGTAGATTTTACGCAGACCCCGTCGAATGCGTTGATTTCGACGCTACAAAATTTTAAAAAGGAATTTTTTTAAAATATGTTGAAACCCGATATCAGACCCCTCCATTTTCCCCCCATATTCTTCACCCCCCTTCCCTTTTTGGCCCAGAGACGAAATACACTCTGTTTAAACGCAGATCATTTTGCTCCTCCCCCCATCCCCCACCCCTCTTATAAGGTAAGAATTGGTAAGGGCAGAAATTTACTCATTTCCGACTCGCTAGAGAACGACCCACATGGTGAGATTTTGACCCCCCACCACGAATTTNTTTAATGTCAACATGTTCACAATAACCAATGTCATACAATTATTATATTCACCATCATATAGTAATGTTTATCTGTAAATGTAGCACAATATATACAATTTTTTTAACATGTTTTTATCAGCTTCATTATTTAGTTTGATTTTTTTGTGTTTGAAAATACATTTATTAATCAAATTATTTTTTTCCATCTATTGTTTTTTAGCCATGTTTCAACCTTTTTTGGTGCGTTTCTTAACTTGGGTCTTTAATAGCGACTCAAAATGGTTGAAATATGTCAAAATTAAGGTTTTTTTTAATTTCAAAGCAAAAATTTTGCCGCCGAAAAAAACGTTTTCTTGCGCGGTTTAACTAGCAGTTTTTTTCGCTCTTTTCGGCGCAGAGATTGCTTTTAAAAGGCGCTGAAATATGCAGTCTTTGGTGACCTTTTTCTGCGCAGAAAATGCTTCAAAAAGCGTCGAATCAAACGGGCTTTCTTCTGGGTTCAAATTTCACTGTCAAAGCTGTCAAGCTGTTGCTCCAAGCTGCTCAATTCAAAACCATGAGAAACTACGTGGGGGGTCACATGGGGGGGATGTGAATTTGATACCCAGACAAAATATGAGATGCGGCGAAAAACGAGTTGAAATCGTAACATTTAGACGAGGTTTGCTTAAGAAAGAGGTGCGCTCTTTTAATGGGCCGAGACGTAGCTCTTTAAGAAGAAAAGAACGCTCTCTGGTCTGGTCGGGTACATGGACATTTTTTTCTCTCAAGTATTAGAAAATTTCATGCACTGTGTTGAATACTTAAACCTCGAGACTTTTGATAATGATAATCTTTAAAAAGTATCTTTTCACTTTTACATTTGATATATTCAGTACTGACACAGAAGCCATTGCTAGTAGGTCACCCAAACTTCAGGTGTGTATTGCAGTGGGCGTCAGTACCTTGTCCGAACAAATAGTGGAGAGTGAAGTTGATGTTGATAAGCAGTTAGTACTTCAAAAAGAATGCAAGTAGAAATGATCTGCAAACTTTTTAAAGAGGGAGAAAAACTTTATTTAAGGTGAAATTTCGGTAGGACCAGTATTTAGTAGAGAACAAAATTAATAAAAAACAGCTGTATTTAGCGATAAACGAATTTAAAAAAATATAGATCTTTCCGGAGGTCGATTTTTTTCAATTTTGAGATGTGAATTTAAAGATGCATCTCGAACCGCTTAATTTCGTATATGGGTCAGTTTTTCGATATTCCTAACATTGTTTGGTTTAAGGTTTAATAATTAACTTTTCCAAAAAACGGGTTTTTAAAAAAACATCTCGATTTACTTTCCCGATTTTTTTTTCTCTCGCAATAGCTTTTTGATATATGTAAAAAATATTTTAAAAAATTCAAGAAAGTAAACAAATTCTTTTTAATTGAACAAGCAAGATGAATTTGAGCATTTTTATGAAAAAGAGTGCTTGAAAATTGCAATATATCTCAAAAAGACAACTCTTCCTCCTAAGAAATCCCTGTGGACTGTGGAGCCCTTTTTGAAATTTTCAGACATTGTAAAATCAAGCGCATTTTCAGGCTTTTTGTGATATTTTTAAACCAACTTGTGAATTTTCTTTTTTAATTACTTTGCATGCTCTGTTCTGTAATTATTATTTGTTAATTTCAACAGATAGAATTTACATATAAAACTTTGGAGGGCCTGCCAATCAACCAGAAATGGTCTGGCCCTGGCTGAATCATTTATTTATCTTCTATATAATAAAGCTCTTCGCTTTAGCCAAACAGTTGGACTGAATGGGCTGACATTTTTGTGGGAACCCTTCCCGACCAGACCAGAGAGCGTTCTTTTCTTCTTAAAGAGCTACGTCTCGGCCCATTAAAAGAGCGCACCTCTTTCTTAAGCAAACCTCGTCTAAATGTTACGATTTCAACTCATTTTCCGCCGCATCTCATATTTTGTCTGGGTATCAAATTCACATCCCCCCCCATGTGACCCCCCACGTAGTTTCTCATGGTTTTGAATTGAGCAGCTTGGAGCAACAGCTTGACAGCTTTGACAGTGAAATTTGAACCCAGAAGAAAGCCCGTTTGTTTCGACGCTTTTTGAAGCATTTTCTGCGCAGAAAAAGGTCACCAAAGACTGCATATTTCAGCGCCTTTTAAAAGCAATCTCTGCGCCGAAAAGAGCGAAAAAAACTGCTAGTTAAACCGCGCAAGAAAACGTTTTTTTCGGCGGCAAAATTTTTGCTTTGAAATTAAAAAAAACCTTNTACCTTATAAGAGGGGTGGGGGATGGGGGGAGGAGCAAAATGATCTGCGTTTAAACAGAGTGTATTTCGTCTCTGGGCCAAAAAGGGAAGGGGGGTGAAGAATATGGGGGGAAAATGGAGGGGTCTGATATCGGGTTTCAACATATTTTAAAAAAATTCCTTTTTAAAATTTTGTAGCGTCGAAATCAACGCATTCGACGGGGTCTGCGTAAAATCTACGCTATCTGGTCTAGTCGGGTTTAGTACCCTCGGGGTAACATAGACTAAAATAAATTTTAAAAAATTTCTTTGAAATTCTATTTCACTTTTTAAAAATCGATTTTTTTAAAATTTGATTTTAAAAATTTTAAATGCATTTATTGTGATTTTAGCCGAAATTTGTCTATCTAATTATCTAAAGATAGCAAGCTGAATATAATAATGAAGGAACTATTGGTTTCTAATCAATTTTCTGCCTGAATATTCAATGTAGGGGACTCAATGTATATAATATTAATATTTTATTAATTGGTTTTTATAAAACATTATACGGAAATAAATGTAGTTAGGATTATCCAGACTTATATATATATTATCAGAAAAAGAAAAATATTTAATAGGTAAACTTAAAAAACTAGAGGGGGAGGGGTGAAGAATATTGGCGGGTTAAGCTCGTCGGCGGCAAATTTTATTTGTTTAGAAATTTGATCAACTTTTAATAAAGTAATGATTTTAATTAACTATCTTACAGTAAAAAGTAATAATATGAAAACAAATCTAAATAATAGATAAATTATGGCCAGGAATAGAGGAAGCTGTTGGTAGGCATCCTCAAGCGTTCTAGGGAAAATTCAATTCAGGATTTGTGAAAACTGAAGATTTTAATCCTTAAGCTTTTACAGACATTTTCATTCTGTCCTGATGCCATTTTTATTGTAGTAAAGAACAATTTTTTTATTCGAGCAAGGAAGCGTTTTCGGTTTTACATTCATTTATAGCTTAAATAAAATCTCATGCAACATAACATCTATTATAAGCAGAGTTTATGACGTATGACATCATTCATGATTTCTCCAGTTCAAAAGAAAATATCAAAAATCTATTTTTTGATTTGATACAAATAGTTTCTTAACAGCTCGAAAATATTTGTCTTTAAGTAATTGATTTGACCTTGCAAGGTTTGCTAATTTATTACAATATTTTAAAGAACTGTAAGCGTAATTTCAAGTGACCCTCCATGCAAAGATGACAATGCTCGATTCACAACGGTACCCTTGAAAGCTTTGACTAATTAAGTTTTGAATTAGATATTCCATGTTTTTGTCTCTTTACACCGTTCAAATCAATTTGCGGATTCTTCTCAAAGGATCCGCTAGAACACTACGAATTCAATTTATTACACACTACACAGAATGAAAAAGGAAAAATTGATTATTTTTTACAATTTTTTATTCTAGTTCAAAGATAAAGATTAAGGTTAGTGGTGTGTAAGAGGCACACGAGAGTGAGTGACAAGGAATGGGCACGTTCGACTTTTTTTCATATCGTTCGTGACCGACCAGGGAGTAAGGAATATTCCTTACTCCCTGTGACCGACCCTTTTCGTTAGTTTTTTTTCAATCCTTCAAAAACATTGATTTCGTTCGTTCTCAAAATTATCGTTCATTTTCCATTTATTTAGTTCATTTTCTCACTGAACGATCGTGTTCAGTAAATCGTTCCCTCAATTAAAAAAATTCTCACTTCAATAAAAAACTAGCGTTTTTTAAAAAGTTTGTTCCGAAAAATCATTCGTTTAGTAAAAAGCGATAGTTTTAATTTTTTAAATCTTTTGGAAAATTTCGTTCGTTTAGTTTTTTTAGTCCGTTTTTAAAAAACGAATTTTTTTTAATTTCTCCGAACGATCCATTTCGTTCGTGTTTTTCTGAACGCCACCCTTTTTCACGAAAAATTTCGCTCGTTCAAAAAAACTTTGCATATCACTATGAGTGAGTGAGTGTGTACTGTGTGTGTGTGTGTGTGTCAGAAAGAGAGAGATTAATAATAATGACTCTCTGTGACTCTCTATATAAGAAGTAAAAAAGGAGAATCTATCTCAGTTTAAACCAAACCCTTAGTAGGTATTCTTTACATACAAGAAAATACACTTTTTTATAATTTTACATTATTTTTTTATTCTTATTTTTGAAACTAAAGAGTAAATGCAATTACCAAAAAGTATTTTCATCGTCATGCATCCTAAGCTTAGCTTTTGGTGCAGTGCTCTTGAAGTCGAATAAAAAAATAACTTTGTTTTGTTTTAAATTGAATAATTTTTTGAGCACAAAAAAATGCAAGTCAATTATTGGCGACGGATCTTTTAAAATCCATAACCGGTTTTCGTATGCGTAATTTTGGTTCTGAGAAAAAGGCCTTTTCAAATGGAATTTTACAAAATCGACCTCTCTTACGTTCGAACCTTTACAAGAAAAATGTAAAAAATATCTTGCTCTGCATATTTTAAGAAAAACAAAAGCAGCATATTAAGAAAGAAAAAAATACCGAACTGAAATACGGTGGGAATTAGAAAACTCTGGAATAGGAAGACAACATTTAGACTCAAGATATAACTTTAAACAATCCAATGAACATAGGAGACAAAACAGTTGTGCAGTGTGAGGGAGGGGCTCCGGAGGTCAGTTTGCGGGGCTCATGAATGCTCATGGATGCCCCTCCCTCGCAATGTAAACTGATACTTTTCACTTCATAAGTGATTTGATAATTTATTGGTAAAACAATTTGCTATGTAACAACATCAAATGCATTTAGCTTTGATTTAATGTCGTATTCTTATTCGTCAGTTTTCTGGATCTCACTAAATTATTTTCTGTAAGTAAATTCCACTTTGTTTTAAGTTCAATTTTTCTAATATATGAAAGGTGGACGCATGATGGATAACAGTACCATGATCGCAAACTTATCTGAACCAAACCTTGAGACCAGGTACAGACAAACACGACCTTTTCCCTGTATATCTATTAATCTACAGGGTGAGTAAAGAAAAAGTGTGATTAGCGGCGCCTTGTGCAAAATTGTACCTTTTTTGTGCAACTCTCCTGTATGGTGTTTTTACAATATTTAAAAAAAAATTTAATTTTGTTGGTACTCCAATGGTTCAAAATAAAATCCGCGATTCTTTTTTCTCTCAAAATCAAAAGTTCAGAAACGCAAAAATGTGTATATAAATTATTTATATCAAAATCTAAAATTCTATAAAGAGTAAATCACAGAAAATTCGCAAAATTGTAATTAGAAAATTCACAATTTTCAGAAAAAGTTGTTTTTCAATGGTTTCTTAGGTTTCAACTGAACAGCGTATATTTAAAACTTTAGAATATACTAAAAAGAATGGAACTAGAGAATTTAAATAACTGTTTCTTAAAAATTAGACCAGAACTGAAAATTGTGAATTTTTTTTATTATAATTTTGCGAATTTTCTGTGATTTATTCTTTATTAATTTTTAGATTTCGATAGAAATAATTTATGTACTCATTTTGTTTTTTTGAACTTTTGATTTTGATAGAAAAAAGGTTTGCGGATTTTTTTTTGGTCCATTGGAATACTAAAAAAATAAAATTTTCAAAAAATATTAAAAAATCACGTTACAGGAGAGTTGCACAAAAAATGTACAATTTTGCACCAGGCCCCGCTGATCACACTTTTTTGACTGGCCCTGTATATATATTCAGTATCTATCTATCTATCTATCTTTTCTTCCATGTATACACAAATTCTACAGGGTGTCCCAAGGATCCCAAGTCTATGCTATGGATGCATCCTATGCAGCCGTATATTAAAAGTTATATCTTTTCTTTTATAAACTCCTCTATGCATAAACCTATGCTATATATATATATGTGAATTCATCATGCACATACTATATATATCTCACGACATAAGCGATTGTATATATTATGCAATAAAACTATGCAACTAAGCATGATGCATACCTGCATCTAAAAAAAGATATTGTTCTTCCTATAGTTTCATATTAGACCTCAGTTGTTAAAGGGAGTGACCGGCAATATATGGTAGTTGAGTTGAGATTGCAATATTATTGACAACGTTTTTAGGATTCATTTGAGACCTATCAGACGTTTTACGGTGAATATTTGTTCAGCAGGAATGCAAATTTAATACTTAAAATCCTTATTGATTGTCCATTTTGGAGGGATTATTTTGAGAATCGGTTTTTTAAAAATTGGTCAGAAACGACAAAGAAAAATGTAACAAATTTCTTAAGTAAACTAATTAGATATTTAGGAACATAATTCTCATTAGAAATTGGTCAATAAATCAATGTTAGAATCAATTGTTTCTCTTCATCATTATATTGATTTCCTTATTCTTTATGAACTTGTTCGCAGATTTCTTCAAATGCTTCAAAAGTCGTCTTTTCATTAAAACTTCACTGAAATCTACAGAAAATGGTTTTAAGCATTGAGACATTATAGAAATCGATAACTGAATAAGATTACTTATTTTTGATGATAAGAACTAATTTCTATTTTCTCTACCTGTTCCTAAACAGCTAATTAATATACTGTAAAATTTTTGTTACATTTTTCGGGGTTGTCATTGAATAATTTAAATACAACCGATTTTTAAAACATCCCTCCAAAATGGACAATCTATGAGGATTTTTAAGATTGCATTTGCGGTCAAACTTGCTGAACAAATATGCGCAGTAAAAAGATCTCAAATATCTCTCAAATGAGTCCCAAATATTTTCAATAATACTGCAATCTTTGAACTACCTTTCATTGCCGATCCTTCCCTTTAAGTACCTTCTCTTTTGTATGTATCTATATTCCGGTTCCAATTGAGCGCCGGCTCAAATATCAAAACACTGAATACAATTTCAGGTGGAACCAACAATTTTTGAGCCGCGTCTTAAATTTAGGACGCGGCTCAAATTCTTTAAATTCGGCCTCTGATGTGTTCAGATCAATCTGATATTAATCAGGTCTAGATCTAGAATTTAACTATCTTAAAACTTACAGAGTTGTCTCTATCTACTTTTCTTATAAACTGCATCCACTGACAAAAAAAGGAAAACTGAAAAATTTATGTTAATTGGTCAAATTGTGATCGAAAGTCCCAGGGTGATCTTTCTATCTGTCTCCTTATTTACATTTTTCTAAAATGACATTTTAAACTAAATGCTAAACGTATAAAAGTACAGGGTGTCCCACGAAACATGACAATAGGAAGACGACTTGAAAGTCGTCTTTGGTATTTGAATTTATTTGTGACATTTAGTCTCCTATCTACTTTAACGTGCATGATTCTTGAAACAATTATCACATAATTCTCCTAGCCCTGGCATTTCCAAAAAGTGGTCTGCGTTTTTTGTGCTTTCAATATTACCGGAGATATAAAGAGTTTGTTTCAGATTTCAATTTTGTTAAATAAAAGAAAAATTGTCGAAATCTGAACGAAATTCTTCATATCTCGGGCAATATTGAAAGCACAAAAAAGGCAGACCACATTTTGGAAATGGCAGGACAAGGGAAATTTTGTGATGATTATCTCTAAAATTAGATTGACAAATAAACGCAGCAAATTATATCAAAAATCAAGACGACATTCAAGTCGTCCTGCATACTGTCATGTTTCGTGGGACACACTGTATTTACCGACTAGATTGACCCAAGGTTTAGAAAATAACTTACCTTTTAATCTTGTCTATAAATCTCTTCCTTATCCCTGTTCTAAAGTTTGCAAGGGGAATAAAAAGTTTCAAGAGTCGATTCGGTTCGGATATGTAATTATATTTATCGAAATGAACATTTATAGATTCTAATATTTTTAAGATGGATGATCATTGGAGCATTATTAATATGTGTTTACTATTAATCGGCCTCTATAACCTCGCTGTCTATTGTATACGAGGGGAAGAAGGTCAGCCACATCAATTTCTCGTCCGAGCCACATTCTCCTCATTTTCTCTTCCACGCCACCTCGGAATCCTCGTTCTTCGATTATTACGTGTTTTAGAGTTTCCAATTCTCGAAGATAAATCTTTTTTTATCTGGCAACGTTAGAGCATAAAATATAGATTGGACTAAATTATTGCATGATTATATCATGTTGGAATCTTCAAACCCATGAGAATGATGTCAAACTTGACTTTTGTAAAACTTATATCTTTTCTGCCTCCGTAATGACTAACCTTCGCGATATAAAATGAATAGAAAATATTTGGCATACCTCTGAGTATCTTTCTGCACAAGGAACCGCCCAGAAAAATTCGAGGGTTTTTATCATTGTTAAGAAAAAAGATTAAAGTACTATAAACTCGGAATTATTTGAGGCATTTTACACCATGGGAATATCTGAAAATGCACGTAAAAAAAGTGAACATATTTAAAGACATAAAACTTGAAACCATAGACCCTAACGTGGCCAGATTCTTAAAAAATAGTTTTATTTGAGAGGATTAGACACTTAAAAAATATGATCGAAAGGACGAGGATTTCGAGGTGGCTCGGACGAGAACTAGTTGTGGTTTGCCTTCCTCTCCTCAGTGTACTGTACAATATAATATTTATTGTTTACTAGTCCCCTTAGTATACTGAACTATATAATGTTTACTGTTTTGGTCCCCCTTGTAAACTGAACTATATGATGTTTAATGTTTAGTGGTCCCCCTTGTATATTGTACTTTATAATGTTAACTGTAATGTGGCCCCTTTGTAAAGTCGTTACCCTAGTATTCTGTACTATATAATGTTTACTGTTTACTAGTCCCCCTAGTATACTATACTATATAATGTTTACTGTTTAGTGGTCTCCCTGTATATTTTTATATAAAATGTGTACTGCTTAGTGGCCCCCTTGTTTAATGTAATAAATGATATTTACTGTTTAATAATCCCCTTGTATACTGCCCAAATATAATGGTTATTGTTTAGTGGTCCTCCTTGTATATTGTACTATATAATGTTTAGTGTTTAGTGGTCCCCCTTGTTTATTGTACTATATAATGTTTACTGTTTAGTGGTCCCCCTTGTATATTGTAATATATAATGTGTTCTGTTTAGTGGTCCCCCTTGTATATTGTACTATATAGTGTTTTCTTTTTAGTGGTCCCCCTTGTATACTGTTCTATATAATGTTTACTGTTTAGTGGTCCCCCTTGTTTATTGTACTATATAATGTTTACTGTTTAGTGGTCCCCCTAGTATATTGTACTATATAATGTTTACTGTTTAGTGGTCCCCCTAGTATATTGTACTATATAATGTTTTTTGTTTAGTGGTCCCCCTAGTATATTGTACTATATAATGTTTACTGTTTAGTGGTCCCCTTGTATATTGTACTTTATAATGTTTACTGTTTAGTGGTCCCCCTAGTATATTGTACTTTATAATGTTTTCTGTTTAGTGGTCCCCCTAGTATACTGTCTATATAATGTTTACTGTTTAGTGGCCCCCCTAGTAAATTGTACTATATAATTTTTACTGTTTAGTGGTTCTTCTAGTATATTGTACTTTATAATGTTTACTGTTTAGTGGTCCCCCTAGTATATTGTACTTTATAATGTTTACTGTTTAGTGGTCCCCCTAGTATATTGTACTTTATAATGTTTACTGTTTAGTGGTCCTCCTAGTATATTGTACTATATAATGGGATTCTGGGCCCTGGGAACGGGTACAACTGGATTTCTAGCAAATATTCTTGTTATTCTTGTCTTCTGTATAACTCCTAAGGTTAGTAAAATCAGTAGTTTTAACATTTTAATTTTTTCTTTTTTTCAAACATTTTTACATTATAGTGTTCAACATCTTTATCTTTTAAAACAATATTGGGTCGGAGTAGGGAGGGCAAGCACATTTAAATTTTTTTAACAATCGTTTATTGCTCCGGTCGTTAACAGTCTTACATTATAAATGGCGAAAAGCGCCAAAAAAAAAATTTGTTGACAGTTGAAAAATCGTTAACCACGCAGCCGTTAACGGTCTATTTCAGTAGTACCGGCAAAAAGCGCCAATTCGTTAAAGTTTGTAAAAATGTTAACTGAGCAGCCATTAACAGTCTTTTGTAGTATTAACGGCGTTAAAGTTGGTACAATCGTTAACTACACTAGCAGTTAAACTATATTTTTCCTTTTCTGCGAACTGAATAGTATCTAGATATCCACATCAACTATGTTTATCCTATTCTGAGGTGAACCCAGATGCTTTTACGGCAAAACAAACTCCAAATTTGTTTATCAAAATTCAAAGGTTACCTCGATCTGTTCTCAGCCTTTAAGGTTGTGAACACAGAAGATGACATTAAAAAATTTCGAAACATGTAAAAAATATTTTTAGTTAATGCAAATTTAAGCATAAAAAAGAAATTCTCCGTTGAAAAATTCCATTTCGTTTTTGTTTTCTGACGTTGATGTGTTGTCGTTCGTTAACAGTCTCTTCCGTTAATTATCGAAAACCTCTGTTCCGTTAATAGAACTTTCCCCAGCCCTAGTCGGAGTTAGTTGCTTGTAATTTGTAGAGAAAATATATTATTGTGGTGTCATACTGCCAATTGGAATGACATTACAAGATTAATGCGGCTATGGTGTAGGAATAGTATTTACAATTTTAAAATTCAATAAAAAAAGTACAAAGCAAGATGCAACAACAGAGAATTGTTATATTGTACTGTTTAAAAATATTATGAAAAAGATTTTTTTCTTGATTTTTCTCAGGTCTACGTTTTTTTGTTAGATTACATCTTACTGGGAAACTAAATTTTCGAAATAAAAGTCGACTCACTCAACTCAGAATTTCAAGAACAAGCTGAGAACAGTCACCTGAGTTCCCCAATCAGAATTTGAGGCAAACGGAGATTACAACTTAAGAATTAGATTAATCTTAATTTTGTTTTTATTCCCCACCCTGTTAAATGTAAACTTTTCAATTAAGGAATGTTATGTATAACTTTAATAGATACTTCTATCCTATCCACATGCAATAGGTATTGGTTTTTAATCAATTTCTTAAGTCGTAGTAATATTTATTATAACATTTCAGGATTTTATTCTAAAGCCAAAATCACATGTAGTTCTTAAATCTTATCCCAACGAATTTCCTATAAATTCCACCATTTAAAGGGTGTCAGTAGTTTTTTTTTCTCCAACGACGACCCTTCGTTAACGATCGTTAACGAAACGACGAAATTGTCAATACAATTTTTTTTCAAAAACAATCTTAAAAATAATGGTCGAAAATAAATCGTTTTTATAAAACGATCGTTAAAAGTAAAAAACGAGTGGGTCGTTTTTAAAAACGATAGTCTTTTCGAAAACGAAACGATCGTTTAACGATCTTTTTCAAAAACAATTAACAACCCTATATATACAGCTAGTTCCACAGGTAGGAATGTTGTCTTTGCATAATTAATTTTAACACTTTAATAATAACTCCACCACTGGCATAAAAAATAATTTGGATAAAAGCCTTGATCTGTCTTTTCAAGATGAACTGAAATATTATTGTCACTATTTTTCAATATATTAGTCTTACAGGATCCGGGTCCAAATATCTTTGATTTTTGACCATCTTTATACCTGATTTTGTTAATCATTTTTGAGTTTTACCATCTTTTGTGGTTTTCTATTAACACCCTTTAACTACCTACTAATGAAACTGTCTGTGGTTAGTTAAGAACACCTTTTAACTACCTACTAATGAACCTGTCTGTGTTCAGTTAAGAACACAGTTTAACTCTCTACTAATGAACCTGTCTGTGTTTAGTTAGAAACACAGTTTAACTACCTACTTACGAAACTGTCTGTGTTTAGTTAAGAACACCGTTTAACTACCTACTTATGAAACTGTCTGTGTTTAGTTAAGAACACCTTTTAACTCCCTACTTAAGAAACTGTCTGTGTTTAGTTAAGAACACCGTTTAACTACCTACTAATGAACCTGTCTGTGTTTAGTTAAGAACACCGTTTAACTACCTACTAATGAACCTGTCTGTGTTTAGTTAAGAACACCGTTTAACTATCTACTAATGAATCTGTCTGTGTTTAGTTAAGAACACCGTTTAACTACCTACTAATGAACCTGTCTGTCTTTAGTTAAAAACACCGTTTAACTACCTACTAATGAACCTGTCTGTGTTTAGTTAAGAACACCGTTTAACTACCTACTAATGAATCTGTCTGTGTTTAGTTAAGAACACCGTTTAACTACCTGCTAATGAACCTGTCTGTGTTTAGTTAAGAACACCGTTTAACTACCTACTAATGAACCTGTCTGTGTTTAGTTAAGAACGCCGTTTAACTACCTACTAATGAACCTGTCTGTGTTTAGTTAAGAACACCGTTTAACTACCTGCTAATGAACCTGTCTGCTTGTGAACTAGTTATATCTGTAACTGGAAACTGGCTTCTTGCAGCAAACTCGTTTAGCAGGTAATAATAACCAAGCATTAATGGACTAGCAAATATGAAGGAATTAATACTTTTCGTATTCGTTTTTTTATCAAGAATGTTGATAAGGAGTCTAGAATTAGCAACATTCAAAAGAAGAAGAACAGAGTCGAGTATTATTCTGTTTTATATATTTTTTCTTCATAATTCAACCAATAATATGTATACATACTTTGCTTATTTGTACATGTTTTATCTGTCTGTCTATCCGTCCATTGTTTCCGATAAACGTCAAAACGGCTGGACGGATCGGGCCCAAATATTTTGTAGGATCTCACGTGTCCAAAGGCTTTATATTTTAGTAAAAAATATTACAAAATCCGCGAACTTTTTTTTTATTGTTTTATATTTTACCTAAAGAAGATGCTCACAGATAAAGCCTCAATTAAAAGTTGAGATAGAACATGGGCGCGAAGTAGAAAAAGAGTTTGATAAAGATGTTCGAATACATACGGAGCTATAGGTCGGAGAAAACATGGCCGGCATAAGTGTTTGTTTGTGGCAAAATCAAGACTAATTGGACATATTTACTTTTGATTAACTTAAAAAATATTTTCCTCTATAACTGTATTCGAACCATGGTGGAAGTATTATGTATTTTATTTATATTAGGTTTTCTTTCAGGAAAAATAGGAATAAATAATATTCATACTTTTTTCAATATTTTTGCTCAAAAAAACGTTTTCGTCGGAAGTTTTCAAAATTTACTGCACCGTGATTTAGCCAGACTGCATTTGTTGATAAAACTTGCTGGGTCGACTTTACACCAGGTATCCAGACTGGACGGTACGACGTAACGCAGTACGTTTTGTACCGGTGCGGATCATGCCACCTTTAGACTGGTGTTACTGGCTCACTATAATTTTTACATTATGCATGGTTACCTACAAAGGATGCGATTGTAAAGACGACCTGAAACTCTGGAAAAATAACGATCCCAAGGTTGAATTAAGTTTTCTGCCTTGAACATAGTCTATTAATGGCTCATTAAATGATTTGAAAAAGAAAGAAATAACTATACAGTTGCAAAAAATCATGAATAAAGTAAGGAAACAGACATTATGAATTCCGCACAGTCGTTTCTGAAGTCGCATCCTATTTCGGTAACCTTGTTTATTAAACGCTCTATAAAATGGGGGAAATTGTATTCTATAAACTGCCATGTTTAGTTTATTCATTCTCTATGTAGTCTGAGGATTTGGATTTGGATGGCGCTTCTTGAACATTTATGATTCTTTGAACGAAATCCTTCAATTCCGACAATATTGAAACCACACGTTTTGGAAATGCCAGAACTAGGGATATTATGTAAATATTTACTCAAGAAATTTACTTCCAAAATTAGTTTTGGGAATAAATGCCACAAAGATTAAAGGCGGCCAGGTCGGCACTATACTTCAAATGAATCCCAGTTCTAAAAACTAAAAATTAAGTACACTTAAAGGAACAGTTCTAAAAACTAAATATTAAGTACACTTAAAGAGACAGTACTAAAAACTAAATATTAAGTACACTTAAAGAGACAGTTCTAAAAACTAAATATTAAGTACACTTAAAGGGACAATGTAATATTTAAAGTATAGGTGACTCATGCTAAAAACCTCCCCCAGCCTCACACCTTTATCTCTTTGTTCTTTTAATGAATGCGGAGTAGTTAACCTGAACTGATTCATTAAGATTCAACAGTGCACCCTAGACCNGGGGGGCAACGATTGATCTTGATTTCCCTAGGATTTATGTCTGGGATTGTAACGATATCAAGGGATTAAATGTTACAACAATTCTAGAAACTAAATAATAAGTACACTTATAGAGACAGTTCTAAAAACTAGATATTAAGTACACTTAAAGGGACTATAGCGTAATTTCAAATGATCCTCCATACAAAGATACCAATTTCCGACTTAAAACGGAGCCCTTCAAACCTTATATAATCAAAATGTGGAAGATATCGTCATTATTACGGCATTTTTTCTGTAATGAATATATTCATGGTTTAACCAATTAAAGGGACAGACCGGCTATGTAAGGTAGTTGAACTGAATATTCAGTGTTGTGGACAAATTATTTAGGATTCATTTGAGACATATAAAATTCTTAAAAGATTTTTAAATCCTGAGTTTGAGCTCAAAGTTGTCGTTTAAAATCGTATTTTTGGGTGGATACGTTTTCAGAATTGTTTTTTTTAAATTATTAAATAACGACGAAAAATGTAAACAAAATTCTACAGTAAACTAATTAGTTGTTAAGTAACAGGTTGAGAAACTAAAAATTGATCTTATTATCGAAAATAAGAAATTTAATATAATGATGAAAATGAAATAATTGATTCTTGCATTTGCATTGATATATTGACAAAGTTTTTTTTGAGGTTCCTAATCATCTAATTGGTTTACTGTGTAATTTTTACTTTATTTTTCGTCCTCGTTATCTAATAATTTAAAAAACCAGATTCTGAAAACGTACCCACCCAAATTCATGATTTTGAACGTCGACTATGCACTCAAACTCAGTAATTATACATTGAGGAAAAGTTTGATATGTCTCAAATGAATCCTAAAGAATTTGTCCACAACCCTGCATACTCAGTTTAACTACCTTACATAGCCGGTCTGTCCCTTTCATGCACAAGTCACTTGTGCACAGAACCAACAGATGAGAATAAATAAATAAAAATATTTGAAAGATACCGTTGTAAATCGGGTATTGCCATCTTTGCATGGAGGGTCACTTGAAATTACGCTTACGGTCCCTTTAAGGCACCATTTCTCTAGAGAGTTCCTGATTTCATTTTTTCTTAAAGCTCTAAAAACTAAAATGTTTTAGGAGATGGTTGTTGTCTGCTAGGGCCTGTCAAGTCAATGCTTTCGGAATGACTTACTTAGGTGATAAATGTTACTAGGTTTATGTAAAGGGTGTCTGGTAAAAAACAACCAAAAGTGTAAAAAAGAAACCCTTTCCAGATTTAATAATTTTATCTAAACCCCAAATGTGAGACTTTAAAACACATAATAAGGTTTAAAAAATCACCCTTTTGTGACACCCTGAACAATAAATTTTTAGTTTATAATTCACGCCCCTATTTCTAGCAATAATTTCAGTTTCTTCCCCTGTCACCATTTCTTCATCGGTATATGTTAACGTACATAATAAAAGAATAACAGTGAACAAATTCAAAGATTTTTTAAATTAATTTAACAATGCAAATCGGTCACGGGGTTCATGAATTAGAGGCAAATCGGATAGAGTGAGTGACCGGGCAATGTATTTTAGTTGAACTGACAATGTAGTGTTGTGGAGAAATTTTAAAGGATTCATTTGAGACATTTAAAACGGCGTATATCAACAATTCTACACTAAACTGATGAGATGTTTTGGAACATATTTCTCAATAGAAATTTGCTAATAAATCAATTTATTTTTTATCGTTATATTTAATTTCTTATTCTTTACGAATTTGTTTGTAGATTTGCACAAACTCATCAAATACCTCGTCTTTTCAATAAAAATTTCAGAAAATCTAATGAAAATGTTTGTGAACAATGAGAGATTACAGAAACTAATAACTGAACAAGATTTTTTATTCTCTCAACCTTTTCCTTTAGAACTAATTAGTTAATTAATATTTTTGCTACATTTTTTTCCTCGTTACTTAATAATTTTAAAAAATCGATTCTCAAAATGTAACCATCCAAATGAAAAATTTTAAAGTCGACTTTGCGCTTAGCTCAAACTCAGTAACGTTTTAAATGTCTCAAATGAATCCTAAAAAATTTCTCCACATATACATTCTCTGTTCAATTACCATACATTGCCGGTCCCTCCCTATAAGGGGTTCATGACTTATGATTGGACATACAAAAAAAAAACAGACAAACAGAGATTACAACTCTCTCTCTATATATATATATATATATAAATAAAGTTGTAATCTCTATTTGTTTGTTTGTATGCCCGATCATAACTCATGAACCCCATAACCGATTTGTTCTTAGCTTGGGTTTGAGATTCTGAGCTGGGTGGGTTCACTTAATTGCATTAGTTGTAAAGGGAAAAATATCTAAAATCGTAATTTAAGACCAAGCCCGCGGGTAAACGGCTGGAGTAAGTATGACTGGGTTCCTAAGCTAGTATTGAAGATGAATATATTGTTTATTCAATACTGTTTACAGACGTTTAATTAATTAATTTTTTTAATCTTAAAATAACTTTTAATTAACTTGTTGTTATATCTTTAGTGTCTATAGATCCTATTGGAGATCAATTAACAATGTTTTCTAAGATAGATAATTAAAATTTTCTAAAATGTTCTATACATAGATACTGTAAATGTACTTTACATTGTACTATAGGGTGTACTATAAAGTGTTCTATACAGTGTACTAGAGAGTGTACTGTACAGTGTTCTATACAGTGTCCTATACAGTGTACTATACAGTGTACTATAGTGTGCTATACAGTGTACTATACAGTGTATTATACAGTGTACTATAGAGTGTGCAATACAGTGTACTATACAGTGTACTATACAGTGTACTAAAGAGTGTGCTATAAGTGTACTATACAGTGTACCATACAGTGTGCTATACAGTGTACTATGGAGTGTACTATACAGTGTTCTATGCAGTTTCTATAGAGTGTACCGAACAGTGTTCTATACAGTGTACTGTATAGTGTACTATACAGTACACTGTACAGTGTACTGTACAGTGTACTATAGAGTGTGCTATACAGTGTACTATACAGTGTACTATACAGTGTGCTATACAGTGTACTTTGGAGTGTACTATACAGTGTACTATACAGTGTACTATACAGTGTACTATGGAGTGTACTATACAGTGTACTATACAGTGAACTATACAGTGTACTATACAGTGTACTATACAGTGTACTATACAATGTACTATACAGTGTACTATACAGTGTACTATACAGTGTATTATACAGTGTATTATACAGTGTACTAAACAGTGTAATATACAGTGTACTATACAGTGTTTTATACAGTGTACTAAACAGTGTAATGTACAGTGTACTATACAGTGTGCTATACAGTGTACTATACAGTGTACTGTACAGTGTACATTTTACAGCTTGCTGTGAGCCTATGACTGTTTTGTAACTTTAAATTTTAACACGATATAGAACAATGATTTATATACGAAAGAACGTTTTTGAAAATTTCTTTTTAAAAAAAAATGTGATTTGTTGCACAAAATTTGTTCAACAATTAATCCATTAAATCCGGACCATTCTGCGATTTAAAATTTCTTGTTTATTCAGTGGCGCAACTAGGGGGGGGGGGACGAACCGGTTTCAACCCCTACCCCCCCCCCCTCAGTATATTTCGCCTCCCTCTCGCCTCCCCCCTCACTTGACTACAGCATGATCATGATTATCTTTTATAAAATTGAAATCAAGAAAAAAATCACAAATTTTTCTTTGGCGCTTCGCATATCATTTCTAATAGGATTTTTAACTGTTATCTCGTTTTTGACCTTATGAAAGTCAGAAATTTTTAATTTATCCTCTAAAAAACCTGTTCATATGTTACTTCTCATGAGTATTACAATACAATTATCATTTAAGGTTTCACAAAACCAATCAATCTAATAAGAATAAGAAGATAAATAATAAGGATTATATTATTAGGACTTTTCCAGACTATAAGAGGAAAACAGGGATAAAAGCCCCATACTGGCAAACAAGGACTTTTATCAGAAAGACTATTAGTATTATGGACAGACGAAATAAAGTCAAGGACTGCCAGGAACTACTTACTGCTTAGGACTGCACAGACCCTTCGAACAGACCTAAAATTTAGAGACTATATAGTGGAAAAATATGACTAGTGGATGCTACTTGGACTACACAAAACTAAGATTTAGAGACTATATAGTGGACAAATATGACTAGTGGATGAATTACTAAAAAAATTGCTGTAGACTGTAATAGGGGACTTTATATACATAGTGAATATGACTAAGCCAGGGACTAACAGACACTAAGAAATATATGAAAAGACACTTGAAGAACAACATTTTTTTGGCGCTTCGCGCACATGTATAATTAATTTACTCATGTCGATAATTTTAAAGCTCTTTAGAGTATAGGTTTTTAAACAATTTTAAACAAAGAATATGCAGATATATTATTGACCACAAAGCCAATAAAAAATGCTGTTTTTTTACATAAAACAGAGCCCCCCCCCCTCACAAAAGTGCCAGTTGGCTACTGTGTTTATTAGATCTTACCGCAGGAAAATTAGGATTAAAAATTTTCCTCAAGTTCTGTTCAAAATACAAAATATTTTTAGGAATTTTATCCATCGTAACCTTGACGGTTTTAGCTATACAACGGTATATGATGATCACTCAGGTATTGTATAGTCTCTACCTATCTACCTGTCTACCTATCTACCTGTCTACCTGTCTACCTGTCTACCTGTCTACCTGTCTACCTGTCTACCTGTCTATCTGTCTACCAATCTATCTGTCTACCTGTCTACCCATCTATCTGTCTACCTGTCTACTTTTCTACCTGTCTACCTGTCTACCTGTCTACCTGTCTACCTGTCTACCTGTCTCTATATCTAGGATAGACAGTTCCCTCTGTCTACTAACCTATCTACCTGTCTACCTGTCTACCTGTCTACCTATCTACCTGTCTACCTGTCTACTTGTCTCTATGTCTAGGATAGACAGTTCCCTCTGTCTACTAACCTATCTACCTGTCTACCTATCTACCTGTCTACCTGTCTACCTGTTTACTTGTTACCTGTTTACCTGTCTACCTGTCTACCTGTCTATCTGTCTACCTGTCTACCTATGTACCTGTCTACCTGTCTACTTGTCTCTATATATAGGATAGACAGTTCCCTCTGTCTACTAACCTACCTTCCTGTCTACTAACCTATCTACCTGTCTACCTTTCTACCTATCTACCTGTCTACCTGTCTATCTATCTACCTATCTACCTGTCTACCTGTCTACCTATCTGCCTGTCTAACTATCTACCTATCTACCTATCTACCTGTCTACCTGTCTACCTGTCTACCTGCCTACCTGTCCACCTATCTACCTATCTACCTATCTACCTATCTACCTATCTACCTGTCTACCTGTCTGCCTGTCTACCTGTCTACTTGTCTCTATATCTAGGATAGACAGTTCCCTCTGTCTACTAACCTATCTACCTGTATACCTATCTACCTGTCTACCTGTCTACCTGACTACCTATCTACCTATCTACCTGTCTACTAACCTATCTACCTGTCTACTAACCTATCTACCTGTCTACTTGTCTCTATATCTAGGATAGACAATTTCCTTTGTCTACTAACCTATCTACCTGTCTACCTGTCTACCTATCTACCTGTCTACCTGTCTACTTGTCTCTATATCTAGGATAGACAGTTCCCTCTGTCTACTAATCTATCTACCTGTCTACCTGTCTACCTATCTACCTATCTACCTGTCTACCTGTCTACTTGTCTCTATATCTAGGATAGACAGTTCCCTCTGTCTACTAACCTATCTACCTGTATGACCCTGGTTCTGATTTGGGTGTATACCCTGGCTATCGCCCTCCCTCCCTTCCTGGGCTTCGGGGAATTCGGGTAGGTTTTATTTTAAATATTGTAGATCTTGCACCTGAACTAAGAGAACAGTATTTTATAATAAAATATCAGGATTCATTTTATATCTTTAAAACGTTCTTGGTTCGTATACGAAAGACTTAGAACTTCTTTTTCAAAAATCACAAGGTTAGATCAGAAGACTCTATTTATAACACAGGTGAAAAACTTCACAAAAGTTCTTCTGGCCAGTCACTACCTCTGAGAGAACAGAACTTTATTGATGACAGTATGACAGTAAATTTCAGATTGATTTAATTAGAATAATATTTTTAACATTTTCTTTAAAAACGAGGTTTTGGAATTTCATGTTTTGAACTTGAAAATAAACGTGATGATCTTAACCCGACTATTATGTAGCATTGCTTTGATTAAAGGTTTCGAATGTAACGTTTTATTTGTTTTTTTTGCATTTAAAGAATTTAAAGATGGAATTGCATTAGTTTTCTCAAAGTTAATAGTAAGTTTATTAGACATGTACCAACAAGTTACTTTTACTAATTCTTTATTTATTGTGTCTGCAAGAGTTTTCAAGTTTTTTATATTTTGATGCCACATTTATGTTGTTAGCAAAGACTAAATCAATACTTTTTCTATTCTTTGTATTGAATTTTATTTTATTTCTCGAATAATTATTTTCTTTATAGAAACACTTAAAGATTTAGTTTAAAAGGTATCCAAAAAAATAAACCATCTCGTCTTGAAAGTTCAATGATCTATAGGAAAGTAGTTTAACGTTTTACAAAAATCAGTTTATTTCAAGTTGACATTATATTTTACAAAATCAATTTTTAAATCGGATTTAAAAAGAACATGCAAGAAAGCTGTCATGTAACAAACCTCCAATATTTAAAAACGTGACAAAGAAGCTATAAAAACGTGACAGAAAAACCATGTGTGACTCTATTAACAATTGATAGTTTGTTTTCTCAAACGAACCAGATATTTCCCATCACCAGATATTATACTGAATCTTGTACTCTTGACAGCAAAATACAGTGAAACCCTTAATAAAGAATACATCGAAAGAATTCATCAAATGTCGTATTCTTCCATTTCTGATAATGGAATGTTGCAGATATTTAGTTTTTTAATTAAATGATTATATGGAACTCTTTAAAACTGTTCCTGCATATTCATGGCTATTTATTTATTTTCGCAAATACTGAAATTTACGTAATATAGTATAACCCTCATTGAAAAATTGTCAAGACGACATTTGATAAATTCTTCCGATGTATTCGTTAATAAGGGTTTCACTGTATTAAATTTTATGTCACTTTGCCTAACTTAATATCACTAATATTTTCATGTACAATTTCTAAATTTCCCCTATCTTATCTAAATAATCCCTAGGGATTATTTAGAAAAATAAGATCCTCCTTAATTCCATGCATTTAAGAAAATATTGTTTTGATTGCGCATTTTCTTGGCAAGTTTTGTAAATTTTGCGTTATCAAAAAATAATTTATTTCATGAAAATATTTTTTTCATTTGAAATTTAAAATTTATTCTTAACACATCCCAAATAGATGGTATGTGATCGCAATATGACATAAAATTACCATTGTACGGCTGATTTAGAAAGTGCGGGATATTATTTTTTCTCTTCGGGATAAGTATCTAATGGTTTATATATTGTTCTTCGCTGCGCTCGGGACAATTTAGAGGTCAAACATGTCTCACCCCTGTAAAATATCCCTTGAATATAAACCATTAGTTACTTGTCCCGCAAAAAAAAATAATATCCCACAACTTCTAAATCAGCCGTACATTAATAGTTAAAATCTCTCTTTTTGTCAAATTGATTAGAAAGATTATGTCTCATAAAATGTTCTGCAAAAGTAACTAAACGGATTTTCTTCTGTTTCTAGACTAAATACACTGAAAGTGTCTTGTGGAGTTGTTTGGGACTTTAACATCAATGCTGATCATTACAAGGTAATTCTGGGACTTAAAGGGACTGTTAATGTAATAGGTAACCTTGTAGAATTTTACAATGAGAACCAGAGAACTCTGGAATTGGAAGACGACTTTTAGGCTTAAGTTCTGACTTTGAATAGTACAACTACGAAGAACATGATACACAACAATTGTGTACTGTACAATAAACAGACCCATTTCAAATTTTTAGCTGTTAGTAAAACTATTTAGAGACTTAAATACAAATTAATTCAGGGACTTTACTAGAAACAATTAAGGGACTTAATTACAAATCAATTCAGGGACTTAATTACAAATTAATTCAGGGACTTAATCACAAATTAATTCAGGGATTTAATTACAAATTAATTCAGGGACTTAATTACAAATTATTTCCGGGACTTAATTACAAATTAATTCAGGGACTTAATTACAAATTAATTCCGGGACTTGATTTACAAATTAATTCAGGGTCTTAATTAGAAACAATTAATTACAAATTAATTTAGGGACTTAATTAAAAATTAATTCAGGAACTTAATTGCAAATTAATTCAGGGACTTAATTTTAAGATAATTCATTTATCCAATTACAAGGTAATTCCGGTACTTAATTACAAGGCAGTTCACTAATTAATTACAACGTAAGGCAGGACTTATTTATAGGTTAATTCGGTGACTTATTTTTAAAGGTACAGCTAGGACTTAATTGCTGCATAAGCAACTTAATCATAAGACATTTTTTTGTCTAAAAAAAAAAATCAAATTACAGATTTTTATTTAATTTAAAAATTGCTTTAAAAACAAAACTTTTTGAGGAACATGGTCACTCACACTTTACAGTACATGTCACCAACACGTGTTAATCTGAGTACTCTTGAACATTTTGTTATAAACAATGCTTTCAAATTCTAATTGTCTCATTTTCATTAAATACTGGTCTTTGTCAGTACAAGTAATGATAATACAGGTATTGTTAGTATAAAGAGGTTCTTTTCAAACTAAAGAATTAATAACATTTTTATTAAGTTTCAGCAGTACAATTACATTTTAAATATTCAAAGGAAAGTATTTATGTTAAGTTATTTATTGTCATAAAAACATATATTTAGCTTGTATGTTTGTTGGGTTCCAATAAACGCAAAATCGACTGAAATCAATTTATTTTTATTTATTTTTTTGAAAGCCCTGTACGGCCGAATATATTCAGGTTGAGTACATAGTGTACATATATTTACATGGAGTACATATATTTAGGTTGAGTAATTGGTGTACATATATTTAGGTTGAATACATGGTGTACATATATTTATGTTAAGAACATGAAGTAAATATATTAAGGTTGAGTACATGGTGTACATATATTTAGGTTGAGTACATGGTGTACATATATCTGCTTGGATTTCTGATCCCCCTGATGATAATATTCTACTGCTACACAAAAATTATGAAAGCTGTCAAATCGGTAAATATTTAGTTTTAAAAATCATCAGGTATTTTATGTAATAAATTATATGAAATATAGTTATTGTATTAATGGAGTTACTATATATGCAGTTGTAGGCGATTATATCAATACAATGAGGACGACTTTTTATCTAAGTTTTGGTTTTTAACAAGCTTTTTTTTGAATTACAAGTTTACAAGTTAACAAAGGAAGCTATTTTAATTAACAGCTTCTCTTGACTTGAATGTTTATGTGTATCCATGCTGTTTAAAATTGACAACAAAAGTCGTCTACATTGCATTTATATAATTGGATACCACTGTAAAAAAAATCAAAACTAGATGTGGAAAAAATAATGAATATCTATTGTTATATTTTAATCTTTAGGAAATTAATTGGTTTTAATCTGTAGTAAATGAATGTATAAATGAATGGGTTCAGTCTGTAGTGAAGTAATTAGTTTTAATCTGTAGTGAATGAATGTATAAATGAATGGGTTCAGTCTGTAGTGAAGTAATTGGTTTTAATCTGTAGTGAATGAATGTATAAATGAATGGGTTTAGTCTGTAGTGTTGTAATTGGTTTTAATCTGTAGTGAATGAATGTATAAATGATTGGGTTTATTCTGTAGTGAAGTAATTGGTTTTAATCTGTAGTGAATGAAAGTATAAATGAATGGGTTTAGTCTGTTGTGAATGAATTGGTTTTAATCTGTAGTGAATGAATGTATACATGAATGGGTTTAGTCTGTAGTGAAGTAATTGGTTTTAATCTGTAGTGAATGAATGTATAAATGAATGGGTTTAGTCTATTATGAAGTAATTGGTTTTAATATGCAGTGAATTAATGTATCAATGAATGGTTTTAATCTGTTGTGAATGAATATAATAAAGTATTAGTTGACTCTGGGAGAAATGAATATTTAAATGAATCGGTTTAGTCTGTAGAATTATAAATATAAAAGTGAAAAGGTTTAGTCTGGGGTGAATGAATATGAAAAATAATTGGCTTAGTCTAGCCTGTAGTGAATGCAAATAAAAAAAGGATTAATTGCTTTAATCTGGAATGAATGAATATATAAATAAATTGGTTTAGTTTGGGATGAATGAATATATAAATTAATTGGTTTAGTTTGGGATGAATGAATATATAAATTAATTGGTTTAGTTTGGGATGAATGTATATATGAATGAATTGGTTTAGTCTGGGATGAATGAATATGTAAATTAATTGGTTTAGTTTGGGATGAATGAATATATAAATGAATTGGTTTAGTCTTGGATGGGTGAATATATAAATGAATTGGTTTAGTCTTGGATGGGTGAATATATAAATTAATTGGTTTAGTGTGGGATGAATGGATATATAAATGAATTGGTTTAGTCTAGGATGAATGAATATATAAATTAATTAGTTTAGTCTAGGATGAATGAATGAATAGACTAATTGGTTTAGTCTGGGGAGATGAATATATAAATGAATTGGTTTAGTCTGGGATGAATGAATATGTAAATGAATTGGTTTAGTCTTGGATGGGTGAGTATATAAATTAATTGGTTTAGTGTGGGATGAATGAATACATAAATGAATTGTTTTAGTCTAGGATGAATGAATATATAAATTAATTGGTTTAGTCTAGGATGAATGAATGAAAAGACCAATTGGTTTAGTCTGGGATGAATGAATATATAAATGAATTGGTTTAGTCTAGGATGAATGAATATGTAAATTAATTGGTTTAGTCTTGGATAAATGAATATATAATTGAATTGGTTTAGTCTTGGATAAATGAATATATAATTGAATTGGTTTAGTCTGGGATGAATGAATATATAATTGAATTGGTTTAGTCTGGGATGAATGAATATATAAATGAATTGGTTTAGTCTGGAATGAATGGCCTCCTGGAAAATGACGCGAAGCGCCGAGCGAAAAGAAGAAGAGATCGTAAGATAACAAATATGGTTGCAATTATGGTAAGTATTTTATTTCTATGATTATTATTACTAAACTAGCTTGAAAACCCAGGTTTACCTGGAAACTAAACTTTATCTATAAAAGCCAGCCAACCCACTCAATTTAGAACTTTTAAACCAAAGTTAGTGCATTCCTCAGGTTCTCGAGAGTTCAAATTTGAGGCAACACGGTCAAGGGGTTTATGAGTTATGATCGGACATACAAACAAACAAACAGAGATTACTACTTTATCTATATATAAATTTGTCTTGTCTGTCTGGGTGTCTGTTTGTTTGTATCCAATAAACGTCAAAACGGCTGAACCGATCGGGCCCAATTTTTTTGTTGGACATCACGTGACCACAGGGTTTATGAATGATAAAATTTTTTTTAAAAAAGTGTTTTAAAGGTTTTTAATTTTGTAAAAAAAATTTAAATTCTTGAAAATCCGCAATTTTTTTTTAAAATCCGCAAAATTTTCTTCTTCTTTGTTTTGAAATGTAAACAAAAAAACATGCTCACAATTTAAAAAGAAGATGGGCGCGAAGCGCCCTAAAAGCCTAGAAAGAAGGGCGCGAAGCGCCTTGAATTTCTAGTATATATATATATGTATTGTTTATCTAACATGTTTTCGTATATTTTCTAGCTTGCTGCTTACTTGATCACGTGGTTTCCTTACGCCATAGTTTCCATATCAGAAGCAGCTGGGTGAGTAATAAATAATAATTTATTTGTTGGTCTTGTCTTATGTACACTGTACAGGGTTACCCACAAAGGATGAGACTGTGAAGACGACTCGAAACTCTAAAGCTATGACGATCCCAAGGTTGAATTAAGTTTTGTGCCTTGAAATTAGTCTTGTAGTGGCTTATTTAATGATTTTTGAAAAGAAGGATACTTGTTGAGTTAAAAAACATGCGTAGAAGGTTTATTTCAATCCTGTAAATAAGTACGGTTAACAACAATGCATTGATATAAATTGATTGAATATTTAAATGTTAGCAATGTTTTATATTATAAAATATCCTTACTATTTGAGGTTATCTGGTTATCAAAAATAAAACGACATTTAAACTTCTGAAATAAAATGATATTTTGGTCACACCAGAAGATGTTTACAGTTCTGCTAGGGGTATAAAATGTTTGGTTTGGCCACCGGAGAAAATCTTGGTCAAAGACGACCTTACAGCGGAGTAAGCTTAATTGTTTTGGTTAACAAAACTAGTTAACAGTTGCAGGGAATCATGAATATACACAGACAGTGTTAATTCTGTAAAGTCGTCTTTCATCCTTTGTGAGTAACCCTGTAAATACGTCCAGGGGGTGTTCTTAGCTTATTTGACGGTAGTCAATGCTTGCTGTGCTCATGATGCTCAACACACTTTACTCATGTTTCATTAAACTACAATATATATTTCTCTGTATTGTGTCTTAAATAAATATGCGTACCTCTACATTCCCTCTTCAATTTGAGTCTTTGATATGGGTCCTCTACATTGCCTCTTCAATTTTTGTCCTCAATATGCGTCCTCGAAATTGTTCTTTAAATATGCGTCCTCTAGTTTCAATTTATTGTCTTTTCTGTCTATATTCTGTATATGCTTCCTGTCTATATTCTGTATACTTTCTGTCTATATTCTGTATACTTTCTGTCTATATTCTGTATATGCTTTCTGTCTATATTCTGTATAATTTCTGTCTATATTCTGTATACTTTCTGTCTATATTCTGTATACTTTATGTCTATATTCTGTATACTTCCTGGGGGGGAGGGGGGCACTGCCCCCCTGTTTACGCCCCAGATACTTTCTGTCCATAGCCTGTATGGCTCAGTAAAATCTCGCCTTATAACATTTCGCCATATAAAATTTCGCCATATTACAACTTGCCATAAAATATTTCAACATATAACAACAACTCGCGTATATAACAGCTCGCCATATAAAAACAATAAACAAAGTAATCAATTCTATTTAGTAGAAAGTATAGAAGTAATTATATTATTATTAATTGATGAATACATAGAGACATATAAAACCAGTGTTTTTATTGGCTTTAAGAAAATTGAAATTCATGATTGTTATCACTGATCTACTCGTATAAATGGCTAAAAATAGAGAATAATTATTATCAGATTACAATCCCCTTGACAACATTATAATTAGAAATATATTTAGAAGAATACAATCCACCCACTGTTTTCTGGTCTTCACTGTAGTTAGAGGATCTATATTTAAAGGGATTGTCAGCGTAATTTCAAGTGACCCTCAATGCAAATCTGGAAATGTCCTAACATAACGGTACCCTAAAGGCTTGTTATGAGCGAGGTATTAATGCAAGGAAAGTTATTTCAGAAGTGTGCGCATTTTTTGTACTGCAGTGTACTGTCTTTGGGCGGAAAACTAAACACAAGACGGATGTCACTGTCACAGTCTAACATGAAATCCATTTTCACAAAAATAATCTATGAAATATTCCAGCCAAAGGAAACTGTTGTGTGAATTATCAAAATTATCAAAATTAAATGATTTGTTCCTCCTCGGATACTAAACGAACACTGATGCATCTATTTTTGTTTACAAATTCCGCCCAGAGAGAGTTAGTTTCAATGTGTATGCAGACTGCAGAGTATACGCAACTTTCCTTGCATTAGTACCTTGGTTATGTGCAAGTATGAGTTAGATATTAATTTTCAAAATTTTAAAATCTGTTTATTTTTCTACAAAGCACAATTCTTGTATTTTTACTGCAGGAACATTTAAGAATGATGTTTCAAACTTCGAAAAACGGCAATTTTTTAAAATTATTTTTGATGAGATAAAAGTTTGACGGGTAACTTTGTTATAATCTGACATTTCCATCTTTGCACGGAGGTTTACTTAAAATTGCGCGTACAGTTCTCTTTAATTTATCAATGTTAGGTGCAAACCCTACAGTTCTCTTTAATTCATATACTTTAGGTACAGCCCTTACAGTTCTCTATAATTTATATATTTTAGGTACAAACCCTAGAGTTCTCTATAATTTATATATTTTAGGTACAAACCCTAGAGTTCTCTTTAATTATATATTTTAGGTACAAACCCTAGAGTTCTCTATAATTTATATATTTTAGGTACAACCCCTACAGTTCTCTTTAATTTATATATTTTAGGTACAAACCCTAGAGTTCTCTATAATTTATATATTTTAGGTACAAACCCTACAGTTCTCTTTAATTTATATATTTTTGGTACAAACCCTACAGTTCTCTTTAATTTATATATTTTAGGTACAAACCCTACAGTTCTCTAACATTTGCAATTTATGCTCTACCAACAATGCTGGCCAAGGTTAATATTGAAATATTTTAACCCTAGAAATTCTTCAGATAAACAAAGCTAAAGAGGGGGGGGGGATTAAGCTGTTAAGATGCTAAAAAATAATGTTAAGATAAAATCAATAATCAATAATTTCATGATTATACTCTCTCCAACCCAACTTATCACTCTAGGTTTTAAACTGTTTAAATCATTCTGTGACATCTTTATTAGACCAATTATGAAGTTTGGTTTTGTGTATAAATGCTGTTTCCTACTCTTCATATTACTCTTTGATACCTGCCTAGGTGTGTGTTTGCCTCGATCCCCTCATATATTTCGGCTTTAATCCCCAGGTTAGTTTATTGAATATGCATCTAATGCAACACAATTAAATAAAAAGGTAATAAAAGTATATAACTACTAAAAACACGTTACAATGAAAAAATATTTATTTTTTATTACTGTTTCAAGCCTTAACTTAAAATTTGTTTCAATGGTAAAAGTGATAGTCTATAAAGTAAGATGTAAATTTTTTAAAGTATTTTTTCAAATTGTTCCTAAAAACGAAAATCAAATCTCTGACTGTTTTAAGATACACTCAACCCTGTAAATGTTTGAACATTAAATTCTAATTTACAAAGCTTCACATTTTTAAGATGAAGTAGACACGTCAGGGACAAATTGATAGTCACAACACAATCAGTTTAAAACTGAATGAAATTGGATTTAATGTAAAGCTTAAAGGGACTTTAAGCGTAATATCAAATGACCTCCGATTTTAAGAGGGACAGCTCCTATTCAAAATTTGTACCATTTTAGCCTTTAACTGAACTCGAGAGCAGAGAACTCGGTGTAAAATGTAAATATCTATTAAATTAAAACTAAATCATTATTATACTATAAAATTAAATTAAAACTAAATCATTATTATATTATAAAATTAAATTAAAACTAAATCATTATTATATTTTAAAATTAAATTAAAAAGCCGTAAAATATGTGTGGCTTGGTATTGTTGTGAATCGGTCCTGCCCCTCTTTAAATGAGAGTCATTTGAAATTACATTTAAGATTTTATAATTTCTAGCTAACTGTAATTAGACTGTAATTAGACTGTAATTAGACTGTAATTAGACTGTAATTAGACTGTAATTAGACTGTAATTAGACTGTAATTAGACTGTAATTAGACTGTAATTAGACTGTAATTAGACTGTAATTAGACTGTAATTANCTGTAATTAGACTGTAGCTAACTGTAATTAGACTGTAGCTAACTGTAATTAGAATGTAGCTAACTGTAATTAGACTGTAGCTAACTGTAATGAGACTGTAGCTAACTGTAGTTAGACTGTAGCTAACTGTAATTAGACTGATTAAGAGAATCGGTTACATGTCGTTATGCAGTTGTTCCCATCAAACTATTGAATACGAAGACGACTTCTCAGGTTATGATTGTAAAAAGTGCAATTAACATGAATTGCATAGTAATTTTGCAATTTACCCATTCTAAGGATATCATTTATAACAACATCAAATGTCGTTTTTTTCTTATTCCACAGTTTTATGGATTTGAAAAATTTCATTTTACAATCGATCACTTTTATACTTTTTTTTATAAAATCTTATTTAAAAGTTATTAATGAATATTTAAGTTTCAAGACGAAGTGAGGAAATACTGGAATAAACAAGTAATCAACCTGGAAGTATCTTTTCAAGGATCAAAAGGGAAATAACTTAAATAATTTCATAATCATAAAATTTTTCTTTGATTCAGAAAAAAATCAATTGATTCCAATCAGTGACTCTATATTTCAAAAATGTTGACCCTTTTACGTCGAACTGAATTAAATTTGTTGTAATTTAATCCTTTCACGTCAGACTGAAGTAAAGGAATTGAGTCTTTGCCACAAACTCTGATTTTCTAATCACTATATCTTTGGAACCAAATGTTGCATACCATAAATATTTCAAACTATGAATTCTGTTAGATCAAGTAATCTGAGTTTGAAATATCAAAGGTTTACAGCATCGAGTTCTAAAGATATTGTGTTTTATATATTTGATTTTGTTCCAAAGACTCAATTACTTTGACGTAATGATGAAATCAAATTTATTCTTCTTTTAGCAATAAATCTGACCAATGACGTTGTATACAGATTGTACTTATTGTAAACAATATTCTTGTAAGTTTCTAATCTCAAATCAGAAAATAACTTCACATAAGCAATCAAATTTTTAATATTGTTGTGAATTTAAAACAAAATTTTGAAAAATCCTTCTTTAAACATCAAACACTCGAAGTTTTTAATGAGAAGATTTTGTTGAAAGTTTAAGATATTCAGAAACCCCGAGAGCACCTTCAACGCTCGTGTCCCCAGCGTAAGTATTATGCTAAATGATAATAATAATCTAGTTTACATCTAAAGGCTAATGACGTTTTCAGCAAATTCTTTTTTATCAACTTAAGTTAAAAAATTTTAAACTAAATTATAATATTTTTTTAACAAATTTGATATTTTTATTTTCATAGTTGTAAATTACAATTTTTAAACAACTAGTAATGGATAATCGCATTAATAACTAAACTAAATTTAAAACAGGTTGTAGATATTTTTTTTAAATGGCATTTTACTTAGTTGCAGTTACATGGTTTATTTAAAATTACATTTTTAAAAAATAATTATAGAAAAAATTTCTTTATCTAAATAAATTTCCTCAAATTTTGCAGAAAAATATTTATAAATCAATTAATGGAAGGAAATGGTGCATTTTTGTCAATCTTTAGATAAACCCCGATTGTGCGGAAAATGGGAAAATATTATTTTACAGACGTGATTGCAAGACTGAGTGATATTTTAAGAAAATGTTGTTTTCAACATATAAACAGTATATATACAGAACTGCAAAATCTTTCTAATTATGAACAAAATTCGCGCATAAACTACTGACAGAAAAATCAAAGGAGGACCAAGGTTATAATGCAAGGAGAGTTATTTTAGAGATGAGCGAATCTTTTTTACTGCAGCGTACTGTCTCTGGGCGGTAATGTAAACACAAAATGGATGTCACAGCCTGACATGGGATCCATCTTTTTATATAAAAAACATTTAGGAAACTATCGTTAAATGATCGTTTTGTTCGTTTTCCGATCGTTTTCAAGGTTATAATGCAAGAAAAGTTATTTCAGAGGTGTACGCATCTTTTGTACTGCAGTGTACTGTCTCTGGGTGGTAATGTAAACACAAGACGGATGTCGAAGCCTGACATGGGATCCATCTTTCACATAAAAGACCAATGAAATATTCTGGTCATAGGAAACTATTATGTGAAGTATCAAAATTATCAAAATGCAATGCTTTTAACCTCCTCGGGTACTAAACGAACACTGATGCATCTATTCTTGTATACGAATTCCGCCCAGCGAGAACTAGTTTCAATATTTACGCAGAGTATACGCAACTGCAATTAACTTTCCTTGCAGTACAACCTTGAGTAGTAAGTAAAGTATAGAAAATTATTTATTTATGAAATACAAAAAAAAACATACAAAATGAAGTGTTTTAGGAGAAAATATTTTAAAATCCTTTAAAAGTACAGGTTATGGGAATATTTTCCCCCAATTCTAAAATATATAAAAATAGAAATAAAAGAAAGAGGAAAGGAAAGGATAAGGAAAGTTACATATTTACTGTTTACACTATATAATATAAATTGGTGGTGGATTGTTAGTATTTTTCGACGATGAACTAACAACTTTTAGAAAGAAAAATTATAGATTTATTTGTAATGTAGAACTTGGTTATTCCGGTTCTTTCAGTACAGCTCTGATAGAAGATAGGTTCTGAATAATTCTTTTAAAAATGCCTGTTGAGATTTATAATTCTTCAAAATCTGGAAAGCTCACCCTGTATTTTGACAATCATATTTACGTCGTTTTTATTACAATTTTAGAACAGAGTTTATTGAAGCAACCTCTGTGGTTTAAACAGGAGAAAAGAGATGAAGAAGTCATCAGTTTAAAGGTAAAAGTTTTTTTACATAAGTTTAACCCTGATCTTTATAGAAATCGAAAGAATAACCTAGTGATAATGGAATGCTGCAGATATTTAGTTTTTAATTGTAAAATGATATGGAGCTCTTTAAAACTCTTCCTGCATATCTTATGGCTATTTATTTCTTTTTATAATTACCAAGATTTAGGTCTAAAAGTATAAAACTCATTGAAAAATTGTCAAGACGTCATTTTATAAATTCTTTTGATATCTCCAAAATTCTGGGTAAACTATAGAAGAAAAAAATCAAGAAAACTTACCAAATTACCTTTTTGAATTCTTTAAAAAAACGTCATATTTCATCTTTTGGGCTTAGTTTAATAAAAAACCAACAATTAAATTTTCAATTCATTTTTTCGGATCTTAAGAAATTTGAAAAAGATAAAATTTTTAGACGAACAAATTTTTACAAATCAGACGTGGAACAAAATAACAAATGCAGCTTTTTCAGGATCTTCTAAGATGGGGAGGTTTTCAGTGATGTACTGTGCCGTTTATGTGTCTATAGCCTGTCTGTTATAACTGTACATTGTACACAACCTGGTCTAGCGGCCTAAAAATTGAGCCGGTACATCAACTGAACCGAAGTTTTCAGTGTGCCAGGGGTACTGTGGAGTTAAATATTGAATATTTGCATCCAATCTGGATTTCGCAGATTACTTCTTAAAAGCTAAAACAAGAAACTCCTACTTCACCGTAATGAAATCCTGATCAAGGGCTATACACAAGTCGAAAAAGTTGAAAATTTTAGACCTGAAAGCTATCAATAATCAGCCCGGTCTTATAAGTTTGTGAATAGTTTCTGTACTGTAGAGTGTAGAAGGTAGATTGCAATGAGAGTGGACAGAATAAAACCAAGTCCAAATTACTCTTAAAATATGTGTAAAGATATTGCTACCTTGGAACTGTACTTTCAAATTTTTCGTTTAGGTGTCTAAAGCAAGAAATATATTGACATATTTTTTCATTTTAGAAAAAAAAACTTTTATATCAAATATTACAAATATTATCATTTAGTCATTTAGGGGTGTGCAATTTTGTAAAATTTTTCTGAAATCATTTTACAGAAGCAAAATTGTATTTTTCTTGGAATTTGAAAGAATAAATTTAAAATGCATTTTTTTAACAAAAAGTGAGTATCAAAAATATTAAAAATTTTGCAATCTATGGTAAACATAAGTTTTTTCTCTATCTAAATATTTTTAAGTAAATAAAAAATTTGTTTTTTTTTTGCTTTAAATCGGTCAATTTTCAATATTTTTATATTCTGTAATTTGATTTGAATTCAGAAATACAACAGAATTTCAAAAATACCCATGTATTGAATTTTTGTTTAAAAGTATATTTTTTTGTATTAGTTTTTTACATTTTTATCATTACAACTCATTTTAGGGATCTATTTCCAATTTTTGTAAACATTTCATTTTTAAAACATGCCAATACGAATTCCAAGTGGAACACAAATTTGTTTCTGTAAAATTTCTAAAAAATGTCACAAAATTTGATGCCGCGGTAATGTTACTAAAAATTATAATGTGTTTCAATGCTGAAATCATGATAAACTCAAGGTTTAAGATAGGAAAGAATCATATTCATTTACTTACAACGTTGGTTAAAATTTAAATTTTACAATCATTTTAAAGTTAGTCTCTAGAAAGGGGGGGGGGGTCAAAATATACTCTTGACCCCCAACCCCTGTATCCGCGCCTGGGCTCCACTTCAAATTAATTGTATTCAGTCTTGAGCCGGCACTCAATTGGAACTGGTTTTGACGGTTCAACGACGCGGTTTAAATTCTTTTAATTTTGCCTCAGGAGCCGTAGAAATTCTATTTTTAGAAAATAAAATTCACTCTTAGTAGATTTAAGTTTGATGAAACATTACACGTTTACATGGTTTAGATTAGTTTAATTTAAACTTTTTAACTTGAAAGTAAAACATTGTTTGATTCCAAGAACTGAAAACTTTGAAGATATCATAATAAAAAGATGTTCTATTTAAGTCTCCTGAAAGTCAGGAAAGATGCATGAAAGATAATGATGACATAATTCAATTTATATATTTTTGTGCTAAACTATTATTTTATCATAAAATTTTAAATATTAAAAAATAAGAATTTTTTTTTTAAACGACAGGATGGTGTCATCTTAGAGATTTCATAATTTCATTATTTTTTCTAAAGAATGCAGATTCTTATTTTAAAATCACGGTCTAGTCGCCAAATCCACAGTCTTTAAGTTTTAAAATATTTAAAACTTTTGAAAACGATCGTTTTCAAAACTAGTTTTATAGAACGGTCAATTTCAAAAGCTGAAAACTAACAGTTAGTTAGTTTTAACAATTTGTTTTATGTAAAAACGAATGTAAGTTAGTTTTGAAAAATATAAACCAAAACTAAAAACTATCGTTTTTCCGATTGTTTATAAAAATTATGCCCATCCTTATATATATGTGCATATATATTTGTAAAATTATTTAATCAACAAAATTGTAATTGACTTGCCTCAAACTTTAATTTTCTAATCCTTATATCTTTGCAGCATAATCTTCTATTGTATTAAGCTATGAAAATTTTGCGTGATCATGCTGAAAACTTGAATTATTAAGAGGTTCCACCATCAGATTGCAGAAATATAAGTATTAGAAATTAAGAGTATTAATTATAAATCTGTTCCTTTGAAACTTGAAATATTATGTTACCTAAACTATTTATTACAGTAGGACCCATAAAATTGTGGAATAGGAAGACGACCAGTTGATTCAATTTTTTGGTTCATTTTAATTAAGTAAATTTTCAAATTTCTAATTAATTTTTAAAGATGATATTTTCTATATTTATGTTGTATGCTTGAGGCAAATATATATATTTAATTTGATTCGATTTGAAGCCTGCACTGGTAAACATATTGTTTTTTAACAATATGAAATTCAAATAAGATGTCGATTCCTTTTATGCACAGTTTTATGGGTCTCACTGTATATTCTACAAAATGGTTGATATTGTAAAATTGTATTTATTATATAGAAATATATATCTATGTGTATATATTAATAAAAAATTTGTTAAATTAATAAATGTTATTGAGGGGCGTGTGCACTGTACAGCAGGGGGGGGGGATGCTTGAAGTGGTCCCTATAATATCATTTTCCTCTTATGCACCTTATGCTTACAAGCAGTACAATAAAATAAGTAGGCCTATAGTCGTACCGGTACGACATGCTATATTCTTACAAAAGGTTTTTGACTGCCATCTAACCACCGTTCTTGTGGCATTATAATACCCATTAAGTTTTACAGTTTTTAAAGAAATATTCTATCTTTTAACAAAAATTCATATCATGAATTTTGTTTATTATTGAAGGATTTGTATTTTGGATCCAAATATCTTTAAACATAATTGAAATTTTTTTTTAAATCTAAATATTTATTTTATGCTAATCCATTTAAAGATTTAAACAGGTTTACATTACATTACAAGATATAGCATTACATTTGCATCATTTTCATAAAGACACAACCACGTTCGTAAGAGTCTGCATTGACCTCACCATAGGTGCTTCCTTGGAAGTAGGGATGGTTTCATTTTCTTTTATTTTTTTTCTGCTCTTTCTCACCCTTTTCCTCCTTTTTCTCCTCCTGTTCGATATCCTGGAAAGAGACTGGGGGAGGGTACCGAGGGTTTGGGAGAAGGAAAAACATTCTTTACCTTCTCTAGACCATAACCTCAGCTCCACAGATTCACCGGCCTTCACAAATTCCTGGTATAGAGCCAGGACCCGCTGTATCGAACCCATGTGTATTTGTTAAGTTGAAACAGGTTGACCAGGTAGAGTGGTCGTTCCCAACATTTCAGCTGATTTGGGGGCCAACACAGGTTTGTGGCCAAACTAGGCAGGGAGGAGAGAGCTGGTTCCTAACAGGTTGAATGCCGGGTCAAGACTGAATGCCGGGTCAAGACTGAATGCCGGGTCAAGACTGAAAATGCCGGGTCAAGACTGTATGCCGGGTCAAGACTGGATGCCGGGTCAAGACTCTAATGCCGGGTCAAGACTGAATGCCGGGTCAAGACTGACTACTGAGTGCCGGGTCAAGACTGATTGCCGGGTCAAGACTGAATGCCGGGTCAAGACTAAATGCCGGGTCAAGACTGATTGAAAATTGATATTAGTCGTGTATATCAATTGTGCACAATGGAATACGTTGTAGAAAATATCTCATAATCTAGCATTTAATAGCTGTGCTCTCTTCTCTTTGCTCTTTCATACTCATCCCCAAAAGTCCCCTAGGAACCAGGTCATAGATATATTTACAGTTTAAGTGTACTGCAGTTTCTGGGAAGAATGAAAACAAAAGCAGTGATGATAACGCTGAGTTTTGTTTATATTCCTCCCAGAAACTATAGTACACTTTATTTGCAAACAAAGCTATTTGATTTTCTAGAACATTCCTTTGATTCCAATGTGCTACAGGGTCACCCACAAAGAATAAGACTGTAATGATGTACCAAAACCCTTTTAATGATTCTAAGCTTGCTTTTATGATTTCTGCATTCAATTAAAGTAATTGAGTCTTTAACACAAACTCAGAATTCTTATATCTTGGCAACCTGATGGGGTAAACCTTTGATATTTCAAATTTAGATTATTTGATGTAATAGAATTCATAGATTGAAATATCTAAGGTCTACGGCATAGGATTGCAAAGATATAGGTATTAGAAAATCGTAGTTTGTGACAAAGATTCCATTCCTTTATTAGATAATATAACTAAAAAAGTTTTTGCCAGCAGAGGACCATAAATGTAAGAAACAAATTCTGAACAGTCGTCTCTGAAGTCTCATCCTTTGTAGGTAACCCTGTACTAAACCTTGGTGTCTGATATCCGAATAATTCAGGTATTAATGCTCCACACGCTGCACTATGTCCATTGCGCGCTGTACCCTGCACGCTGTAAGTTGTACAGTGTATACTGTAAGTTGTACAGTGTATACTGCACGTTTTACACTTACTGTAAGTTGTACACTGTATGCTCTAAATTGCACACTGTAAGCTCGTACACGGTACGCTGTAAGCTATACACTGTACGCTCTAAGTTATAAACTGTACGCTGTAAGTTGTACACTGTAAGTTTTGCATTGTATATTTTAAGTTGTACACTGCACGATGTACATTGCGCGCTAAAATGTGCTCTGTACAATGCAAGTTGTACACTATATTTGAGCAACGTGCACTGTAAGTTGTACACTGTACAGTGTAAAACGTATTCGTGCAACGTACACTGTTCGCGGTGTCAATAATCCAATCTACAGTGTACACTGTACGCTGTACATTTCATATGACAATAATCACTGCAAGCTTTGCATTGTGCACTATAAAGTGTGAGAAAGTTAATTAGATTTCCCCTCTGGGAAGCTCTTTACTTTTCATGATACAACTTTGATGTTGTGAGTCTGGATATATTATAATAAATTAACATAAACACATAGATAATAAATCATTTACTAAACATTACTATTGTTATTATTCACATTCACGTGAATGCATGAATTAAGACAAGAATCTATGAAGGAATCATTTTAAGAAGGTTCCGTTAAATAATGCTTATTTTTACTTTTCAATATTATCATGATTTTTTAAATCTTTCTCATGCCCCCCCCCCCCATCATTGATGCTTAAAATTTCAATGAAATATCATTGAAATGATATATATAAATTAATCAAACACAAAGACATTACCCTACAATAAACTCTTTAAAACTCTTTAAATAAAAGGCTGCTTTAAGAAAAACCGTAAACAGTTCCTTTAAAATACTTTTTAAAATTTGTATTAAAATACGTGGAAGAACCAGGTTTTTAAAATAATATCATTATTTATTTAACGTCAAAGATGAACACGATATTTTGATAGATCTACTAGACTATACAAACATTATTCAGTTGAGATCTAGAGCTCTGTATAAGGAGACATCGAAGTGAGAATTCATCAAACTTTATCTTTCAATCTTGTTTTT